ACTATACTACTGGTAACTGGTCTAACTACAGCTTTATTTAGTGCAATTTTACCTGCATAAAATATATATTATACCTTTAAAAGAAGAAATTTTATATAGTATTGTTTTTGGAGACATCAGCTACACGTACAAGTACCATAGCTACATGTACTTTGAAAGTGGACAGTTTTACATAGACATTTACCAAAAAGTTTAAGCCTAAACTGATCATAGCATTACATTTTATATAGACCCCCTAGGCACTAAGACTATTTTCCATAAATATGATTATAATAATGATATTCATTCATAATATTTCATACCGTGTAGAAGGAAATTGTGGAGGTAGACAAAATTTGGCAAATTTAGCATTTTAATAGCCATTTGCCAATATTAAAATCTGTCATTTTGAGTCATTATGGCCACAAATTCACCAAATTAAAACTGGCCAATTACAAAATTTAGCAATTCCCCAAATTTTATTCCTCCCAAATTTTCCTGCTATACGGTATACAGTATCCACCCACAATTTAAGATCAAAGGCGGTGACACTACCTCACTATTTTGTGAGCACTATAAGGTGCTACAGGCTTACAAGCAGCATTTATGGAAAGTATGGAGGCCAGACTACATCATATAGACCAGGTAACTCTTGCTGCAGCATAGTTTTCTTGCTATGCTTCATTTTGGCACCTTGGGCTTTCATCTGCCTTTGATGTGGACCGTCAGTAATTTATATCGTGGGTGACTACCATAAATGATTCATTGAAAATAGTCTTAGCACCTAGGGGGTCTATACAACACACACACACTGTCAATACTATAATACAATCAGTGATATTAACTTACTTTCTTGATCTAACTTGTCAGCTGCAGCATTCTCATTCATAGCTTTAAGAGCATCTGACAGTGAGTCAAAGGTAGCTCCTCCTTTACTGTCAACATTATCAGCTCTACATAACCACTTACAGAGGCATTCTGTCAAGCAGCAAGATACATCTCTAGAAAAAATTGCTTCCAAAACATCTACTGTGTCCTTATGTAGTCCTAGTCTCAGTCCCAGCTCATACCATCTTGTCTGAGGGAAACCACATCTCTTTAATAGATCAAGTACATCAATAAGTTGATCTATAAAACATATTATTTATTAAAGACTACAGTTAATTATTACCAATAGTCAAAGGAGAAGAGAAGAGACTCAGAGAAGAGGAACAAGAACTGGTTTTAGTTGCCATTGATAAAAAAACAAGCCTCAGAACAAGCCAATAACTCTCGAGCTAATCATAGATACAGTAGATATGAGCTAACCGGATGCAAACTTTGCAAAGGAATGATAAGGGAGGGGCTGGTTTTGGGCGGGGCAATTGCCAATTATTGTTATTTTAACCCTCAATATGGTGGCATTGACACAGGCAGATCATGATGGACTTTTCACAGAGGAGGTAGGACACGGTTGACCTTTGATTAATAATTGCAAAGTTCAATTGCATTCCATTGGTATCACGTGATGCAAAATGGCCAAATTCTTCCACTAGTACCACTTCTAACAATAATTTAGAGCATCAAGATAGAGTCAATGGGACTTTCATTAATTCACTAGAAACTATGATAGGTGCAGTAATTTTTAACATCTTAAACTAGCGAAGATTGATTTATCTGA